TTTTGCTGGGATGGTCTCTTTAATATATAAAACCACTCCTCTTTTTTTACATTGTGTCAAGGAAGTAAATATTTTCCCTAGTTTTGGCTGTATCAACAATTGTTCATATTGTTTTTTAATATGTACTTCTTGGAGGCAAATTATATCAAATTTTAATTTCTCTAATTTATGAAAGGTTTTCCTTCTTTTAACGGCTGAGTTAAGTCCATTTATATTAATTGTAATCAATTTTTTTCTCTTCCATGGTTATATTTTGTAGTTAGGTTTAGCAGCTCTCGTAGATCTTGGTTGACATTGTTCTTTGGCTTCCACCTTTCCACCTACTGCACCTTCTTCTTTTTCAATCACCATCTGGAATTCAATTAGTGAGATTTCTTTTTCTGCCTCTTCTTCTTTCTCTCCAAAAAATTCTGTATAAAATAATTCTGCTTTCTCAATTGAGTTAATTCTATGTCTCTGTTCTTGCCATGTGAACATTAGACCTTCTGGAATCAGCCATGTAAAATTCACCTCTTTTTAAAGTAGCATTTTAGTCAGGAATCGGTATTCTCTTCTCATCTCTCTCAGTCTTCTGGGTATTTGTTTCAAGACCACAATCTCCTTGTCTTAATATTTCAATGTTTTCTCTTTTGCCACTTGCAATATTTGCATTTTAATGACTTTCTTTGTAAAACTAATGTGAACTTCTCTTGGTAAGCTATTTCTCATCGCATATCTTGTGAAAACTCGATAAACCTCATCTATCCCATCCATCATCTTCTCTTGAGTTATTTCCAAAGCTTCAGACAGTATTTCTATCATTATCTCAGCTAAGTTTTGTCCTTTTTCTTCCTCTACATTTTGGAATCTAAGATAGAATTCTGATCTATCCATCTCCCATCTCAACATACCACTTTTATCTTGTTCAACCACCGTTAATCTATTATCAATATCTCCAATCTTCTTGTCTCTTTGTTTATCTTCTTCAATTTTTTGAAATCTCTCATCATACTTCAACATCATTTGTTGGATGTTCTCCACTTTTGCATCAGTTTTCCCTGTTCATTGTTCAGTGTTCTCTGTTCTTTGTTCAATGTTCTCTATTCTCTTTTCAATATTCTCTGATCTTGCTTGAATATTTTGAATTCCTTGCATAATCATCTGCAGAGCCACTTTTTCCTGTTCCTTTTCTTGCTCTAACATTGTCTGTATTGAACGTTGTCCTCCAGATGGTGGAGAGGAAGAAGCAGAAGTTGAAGCACCAGGAGCTGTAAATTTCCTACTCATTTTAAACAATTCAAAATCTTCAGGTTCTTCTAAACCTTAATCCAATTGTGAAATAACCAATTGTAGTTTGAAATAAAAATAGTAGAAAAAAGAAGCCAAATAATAATGATAAAAAAGGGAGGACAAAATTTCTTCAGGTTCTTGTATACCTTAATCCAATCAGTAGTTAGATGAAGAAAAAGGCTTGAAAAAGAAAAAGAAAAAAAAGGAAAAGGAAAAATTCTTCAGGTTCTTCAACACTTTAATCCAATTGAGAAGTCTCTAATAGAAAAGAGTGCATAAAAATAAACCAGAAAGGTAGATGAAAAAACAAAAATACCAGGAAAGGAGAAAAAAAGGCTATTCCCTTAAAAAAAAAGAAACATTAATACTAAAGCTTTCCCTTTAAAATAAAAAGCAAGCATAGAGATTGGACTTCCAAAGAAAAAAAGAAAAACAAAGACAAGCTCCAACAAAGCCAAAAACCCAAATAGTTATTACAAGAAAAAAAAAGATAAAATGAAATACAATAAAGCTGGTGAGGAGGGATAGCACAACTTAGAAAAAGTAAAAAGAGCACACTGCACTTTGTTTAATTATCCAAGCCTCTTATTATAACTCTCTTCTCCAAAAACTTATCACCTTCCCCCTCCCCTAGGTTTCAACACCAGACTCCAGCTGTTGATAGAAACCCAGAAGAGCACCTGCAATAATACTCTCCCATGCTCTTCCCTCTATCTTATCAAATAGCAATGTCCTTGGAAAAAAGTCTCAGTTCTTTCTTTCTCAGCTTTGTCTGGTCACAGGGAAATAGAATATTTTCAAGCCTCTAGTTGGCAGTGTTACAAGCCTTTAGTTGGCAGTGTTTCTTTGCTCTCACTTTCCCCCTCCTTTTCCAAGCAAGATATAATAAGAATTAATAAAAAAAAGAAAAAGATGTTTTTAAAAAGAAATAACTAAAAGGAGCCTCTAGCCTAAAATATTACAAAATCAAAAAGGAGAAAAAAAATTAGATGCAAAAGAGAAAAAAAACAGTCCAGTTTCTAAATATAAGATCGTGTATAGAAAATCCAGCAATGAGGAAAAAACATTACTTTGACATTCCTGTTTAAAATCGCTGCTTAATCACTTCTGTCAAAACTTTTACAGATTCTTTCTTTTCCTTAGGGTGTCCTTTCAGATCTTAGAATAAAGAAAAAGTTCTCACCAAACTGGCACACTCTCTCTTTCTGTTCTCTTTTGTTTCGGAGCTGTCCCAACTTCAGCAGCTTTAGTGGCTGCCTCTTTGCCGCTGGCAAGAAGAGCTTCTCCTGGATCTACCAGGGACTTTGCAGTATCCCTGGGATCGACAGGGTGCACTCTTCACTTTCACCATCTCTTCGGGACAGTTTAGATCGGATAGGACCTTCCAGGAGCAAAGATATCGGCAGCGATCTCAGACCTCCAAGATCGCATGCTGTATCGTCATGATGCCAGCTCTGCCCCCCTCTTTTCTATCCATTACTACTGTGGCATTACCTTTATCTGATGGAAGTATGAATATGCTGCTGTCATTCCTTAAGGCTTGAAGGGCTTTTAGTTCCTCTTTGTGCAAGTTGCTTTTGGATGGTTTGCTTGTGCATAGGATGTTAGTGACTTGGTTTCTTGTTCTATCAGCTTCATCTGTATTTAATTTAGTTAGGTGGGATTCCACTCCACATATGATGGATTCTGTGGGGTTTTTTTTGGGTGCTATAGCATAATTGAATCCTTTGGTTAGGACATCTGTTTCTGTTTTGGTGAGTTCTCTGTTGGAAATGTTGTATACTAATTGTTCCAGGCGTTGTTGTGAGTTGTTGGGGGCTTTCTTATCATGTTCTAATTTCTTTAGTTTCTTCAGGAGTTTGTCATTTTTGTAAGTGGTTTCAGTTTCACCTCTCCAAGTTGTAAGTTGTTTTATCTTGTCCCAAAGTAGAGGGTGGATTTTGTTGCTCAATTCCAGGTGTAGAATTAGGAAATCTTTGTTTAACTGATCGAGTTGGAATCTTTTTCTGTGGAGCTCATTCCTGGGTGAGTGAGGCTCTGCAAGCCCTAGTCGCCTATCTGCCACTGCCAGTTGCCTCCCCACCCCCTGCCTTTTTGTTGCCATCACCACTGGTCACTGGAGGGATTTGTGTAGGCTCCAGCCAGGTCAGCAGCTATTTCTCTCACCTGCTGCTCTAGCTGAAAAATCAAGAGAGTGTTTACCAGCAGAGCAAAAAGCTTGCAAGTTCCCCTCCCATTGGGAAACGGGCTTCGGGCAGTAGAAAAGCAACCAGGTTTGAATCCTGCTTCTCTCTGCTGCTCAGAGCCATTTCCCAATGGGAGGAGGACTTGCAAGCTTTTTGCTCTGCCAGGAAACACTCTCTTGCTCTCCCAGATGGAGTAGCAGGAAGGAACAACGGAGAGGCTCATGTAGGCTCTGGCCAGGTCAGTGGCTGCTTCTCTCACTTGCTGCTCCATCACCCAAGGAGATAGTTCTGGCAGGGCTGCAGCAGAAGGCAAGCAGCAATGGCTGTCCTGGTGGCTGGCATCTCTGAACCAGAGATGTCGCACATGCATGCAGGGAATGGAGGAGTGGGCAGAGAGGGGTGGAGCCAGCCAGGGGCCCCTTTTACCGGTTCTCCAAACTACCAGGAATCATAACAACTGGTTCACTCAAACCAGTGCAAACCAGTAGAATCCCACCCCTGCCCTGCCAGTTGATGGAAATAATATTGAGATGCACAAGCCAACATTATCAGTATTAAAATGGACTGGGGAAGCAAATTGATCTCAATAAATTAATGCATCATGTAACTAAATTAAAGTGTACACAACATGAAAACAACATTTTACTAAAGAAATAAAAATGTTAAATTCACAAAATCTTTGAGACGAAGTCTTTCCCCAGAATATATTAAAAATCTGGAAAAATTGGAGACCATCATGGAAACAATTTATGCATTATTTTTACTTATATATCCAACAACTTACTTGCCACTCAACCTAAGGCAACTAACAAGAACAATAAAATTAAGAACAAGAAAGATACCCAAATATCCTTGGCTACATACTTACATATAATACCTACATACACATCGCATGTATGTGTGTATTTTCAAATACAACTTTCCTTTGAAAGCTTTCTAAAGTAAATTTTTCCATCAAACTATTCTGGGAGGAGAATTTCTGCACCTGGCACAATACAGGGAATCCTTGAGTTATGACTGCAATTCATCCTGGCAATTACTGTCATATGTCACAATAGTCAAAAAGTGGGTCATCATGTGACTAGACCCAATTTTACATTTTTTTTTGTGGCAGTTGTTAAGTGAACCCATTGTTTGCTAATGGCTGTTTTTTTCCTTTATCATAAACACTTGCCATTACTTTTACTGGAAGAAAACACCAGATTCCAGCAAAACTTTTGTAAATCACATGACTATGGGGCACTGAAAATGGTCATTAATGTGAGCCAGTTGCCGAGTCCCCAAAATGCAGTCATGTGATGGGAGAGAAGCGAAGTTGGAACTTCAAAACTGGGTAGTAAGTAGCTTTCGGGATATCTGTCATAACTTTGAACCATCTCTAAAACTACTGGTTATAAGCTGAGGATTTCTTATGTGCATTTTCATGCTGTAGCAGTCAATCTAGTGGAGTTTTTGAACTTATAACTTCCATTTATTTAAGCTGATATATGCAAACAGTTGATCTTGTGTTGCATGTTTGTTTTTTGGTGTTTTCTTCTCCTACAGAGGTAGCTGCAAATGCACAGTTCTTTCAGCAGAGTCAAATGGAAAACTCTGACAAGTCAGACCATAACTTATCCAAAGGGGCACTGTTTTCAGACAGCTTTTTGGATTCTCTGTTGTGCACAGTAAGTTCCTGAAAGGTCACCCTATTCAAGTTTCGTATTAAAGTGTCCTTTTCTGTAGGATGAACCAATTAACTCCTTGATCTTCTCCAACTTTGTCAGAAGTACACACTGATCTTCCTTGTTCAGTTGAATTAATTTTCCTTATCTAAAAATAGCTATCTCTAACCTAGCCAAGAGAACCCAAGTCAAAATATCACATGTTATCACAATACAACTCATTAACTTACCGTAAAGACAGATATTTATCCGACTATTTATGACCGCTATAACTGATATCCTTGAAAATATATAACGATTTTTACAAAGGACTTGCCTTGGCATCACTAACAGCACTGCTCAGTTGACTTAAGGTTTTAGGGTTATTTCAGAATTATAACTTTAGACCAAGTTTTATACTCACATAAGCAGCTTCACAGTGAAGAAAGCATCCAGTGGATCAAACCCAAGAAAAAGAGTTCAGAAACAATGTTAAATATTGAAGGTCTTTCCACATAGAAATTCTAGAATAGAAATCATAGTCTTTGCAGACAGGCAACAACTAGCAAGTACCATTATTTCATACATTTCACTACTCTCTTATTCTACTAAGCATAGGCAATCCCAATAATAACTTGTTTCTTTCAACAAGTTACTCCTAATTCACCCTACCAGGTTAAATTTTTCTCAACATAGGTAAATATTCTTATTTCTGTTTCAGTATTGATCAGAGTTGGGTAGATGAAGCTTATGGTCTAAATCAGGAACTATTAGGTCTAGAGCTGAAGTTGTAGGCTTGGTTATTGGCTCAGCATCAACATCTTCTTTATAGTATACTATCCCTGGTGTTCTTTCTCATCTAAAGAGCAGTGTCAAGACAAGCTATACTACAACAGAGCTTCCAGGGCATTCCTTGACTTCTAAATTGATTCTGATTTAGATAACTTAAGTGTCAACACTTCCTTCTGAGCTCAAGAACATATGGGTGATGAGTTGTCACTGAATTAAGAATTGGCAATTTCTTGGGGACTCAACACAGAACATGATGCTGAAAAATTTGCACAGTTTGGGTCCAAGTATCTACCGAAGGCAATAAGCAGGTTTTCAACCCAATCCTCAAGCATTCAGGTCATGGTTGTCCCAAAAGTGCTTTGCCAAAAGGTAACTGGACTTTTTTCTTCCTTGAAAACATTTTGCTTTTCATACAATAAGCTTCTTCAGAGCATGATGGGGAATGGAAAAATTGGAATTAAATCCCCAAATGGCCTCAATGATTCTCAAAGAGCTAATGACCAGGTACTGCAAAAATATAAATCCTTCAATTTGTGGTCCATTGCATGGTAGACCATTTGTGGTCTACCATGCAGTTAGACCACAAATGGTCATTAATTGGGTGTGTTTTGCTGAATCCATCAGACATACATACAGACAGACAGACAATGTCAACAGTACACATTTTTGACTGGTCAAACTTACATTACAGATTAAATTGCCACTGAATTTGAGATGGGTTCCTTTTTTAAATACAAATTAGGAAGACTCTCAGAACATATTTCTTCACGTAGCTCATGCAAAGTTTATGTTATGGATTTTATCACAGCATTATTTGCTACAAGAGCCACCAGAATTGGATAATCAGTGGTGGTATTCAGCAAGTTCTGACCAGTTCTGGAGAACCAACCGGTAGTGGAAATTTTGAATAGTTTGGACAACCAGAAAATGCCATCTCTGACTGGAGATTTTACAGTATCCTTCTCCTGCCACGCCCATCAAGCCATGCCAACAGAACTGGTAGTAAAAAATTTTGAATCCCACCACTGTGGATAATGCATAATTTTGCTAGGCTTTCATTAGAAATGTAAGTGAAATCTGTTAAATTTCTTTTCAAGAGAAAGGGCATCAGCTGCCAAAATTCTGTCATGGAATAGACAGAAAAGAAATCACAGAATCACTAGCATTTTTCTCTCAATATGTCTCAGCTCAAAACATTCAAACAAAAATGGGTATATTTAAGGGAGTTGCATGAAAAAAGTTCTAACTAGGTCCTTACAAAGCAAAACAATATTCAAAATAGTTGCATGTGAAATGTATACAGTAGTGAGAACTATAATATGGCAACAATTATAATTTTTAGAAACTCTCAGAATGATGGATATCTATTGGTAAAACATTAGCTACCAGTAATTTAAATAGGTTATTTATGTTGCATTTTATTTACAAGGCTTTCTTGAGCATTGCTAAAACATAATTCATCGAGAATGTTGATGATATACTAGTCAATTTTACAGTGTTTTAATTAGTAAATAGCTCTTCCACTTCCTCAAAATAATATGATTGCAAAAAGGCAATTCTTGACATTCTAATAAAGTGCTTCTTTTGAATATATTAAAGCAATGATGGGCAACTTTTTGGTCAGAGCTACATCTTACTTTCAGGTAATGTACCACTTTGCAAAAAATGTACTCAGGCAAGACAAAAATGAATTTTATTAAATTTAAATTGATTTAATCTGGCCTAATTAAGAAAACTAGGATTGGGGTAACATGATAGCTGACTTCCAATATTTGAGGGACTGTCACAGAGAAGAGGGGTTCAGTCGATTCTCCAGAGCAACAGAGGCAGGACAAAAAATAAATGATGGAAACTTATCAGAGAGATCCAACCTAGAGTTGAGTAGAAATTTTTTGACAGTGAGAACAATTAATCAGGTGAACAGCTTGTCTCCTGGAGTTTTGGGTCACTGGAAGTTTTCAATAAAACATTGTATAGCCATATGTTCAGGATAACATAAAGTCTCCTGTCTTGGTCAGGAGGTTGGACTAAAGACCTCCAAAGTCCCTCCAAGCCCTATAATTCTATGTTTCTAATTTAATTAATTTGAATGATGATTAATCCCTATATGCTTTATAATTGCAGTATGAACTCTATGTTGTACTTTGAATTGCAGGGATATTCTGATAGAAAGCAATCTCTGCCTACTTGTCTTCCTTTTTATTCTGAAAACTCCAATGATGTATTTAACTCAGCAAATAAAATACAGAGGGACACAGGTGACACATAAATCCTTCTATTTTTCCAAGTCAGAGAATGCAACAATCCTTTTGATGTTAAAAAAAGAAATGTAGCCAAGAAATGTTAAAGAGCTCAGCCCTATAAAGCTAAGTATGTAAAATGCCAATTCCTTTTGAGTAAGATAAACCTGACCTAGTGCTCAGGATAATACTGGATAATTCGATTTTTAAAAATGCTGATACAGCTGTTGAAATAATGGAAAACAACTCACCAAAATGGCCTAGTGTATGTCTTCACAGACAAAGGTAAACTTATTGTCTTCTCTATCCTTTTCCTTTCTTGTTGATTGGAACAGTAATCAAACCTTATTCTAATGTTCTGGATATCTGCAGTTACTATGTAATGAAACAAGTATATTGCCCAATATGTTTAATTTCTCTGGTTGATCAACCTGAAAAGCATATACCATGGGTGTCAAACTCGCAGCATCACATTGCTATCATGTGACATTTCATGACTTTTTTCCCCTTCATGGAGCCAGGGTGGGCATGGCCTGTGTGTGATGCATCTGGCCCACAGGCTGCCAGGCTGACAACCCTGGCATATACTATCATACCCCGATCTCATATGCTCTTAGTTGTGGCTAAACATGACATCCAAACTTATATTAGTTTTGCTGGTGCTAACTAAAATTTGGAACTCCAGTTTCTCTGCCTTGTATGAAATTGAAATAGTTCCTTAACCATAGAGAACCCATAAACCATGGCTAAGCATTTGAATAGTTGAAGGTATTGCATTTCACATTTAATAGGTAAATATGTATGAAACACCTTCATTGTGTTGTGGACTCATTTCACTACACAAAGTCTTTCTATTCAAGAACTACACCTAGAATCACAAAATATGTTTGTTGAGAGAAAAAAAATTCAGAAATAACTTTCAGTATCTCAGAACAAGCAGGTTTCCAGCTTTTTTTTCATATTTACAAAATATAAAAATGGGGTGTGTGAAAGTAAAGTTGACATGAATTTTCTGGAGTAGTTATGGTTACATATTCATCCAAATTAAACTATACTGTATTTTCAAAACTGCTCACCAGCTTGCTTCTATTTTCTTATTAATAATCTAAAAATTGGTCTGGGATTTCAAGATTCAGCTCAGTTATGGATGCTAAAAAGATGAAAAATGCTTTCATCACAATTGGAATATGATCATAACTGGACTATTTTTAGCAGCAGGGTAGGAAGCAGTTCAAATGAATTATTTGATTCTCCAAATTCAGCAAAGACTCCCTTTCAAAATACTGGCTTATTTAAAACAGTGTCGTTGGATAAGAACACAAGGAGCCCAGTTTTAATGCCTTACTTGACTTTCCACTTGGTAAGTTTAACACAGTAACAGACCGTCTTAACTTACAAGATTACTATTGTTAAGAATAAGAATGTTTTATTGAGCAGTCAAGCTCCCTCCTTCAAAAATGAGTGAGATACTTCTATAACTCTTCCTAAATTTTGTAGAGCAGTACCTCTAACATGTTGTAATGCTCTCTCCATACATATTCTGGACAGCCAATACTAAACAATTCCATATGATCGTTGTTATGTCCTGAGGACTCTAGGAGTTCTCACTCTGGTCCACTCACTTTGTGTGGGAGTTATTCCCCCATTCCCATTGGTTGGTTCTCTCCAGCAGCCAGCTATAAAAGCAGGCTGCGGGGTCCAACCGGTTGCTGATTGCTGAGAGCCAGTTCCAGGCGTGGCAAGCACGGTCAGCCCTTTATTGTATAATAAAGTATTGTTGCACTCATGCTCTGGTTCAGCCTCTCATTGCTCAAACTTAACACTGGCGACGAGGATGGGATGGCTACCAGAAGCACCATGCAACCGCTGAGTCACTAGCCACCGATCCGCAGCCCAGAGAGAGCGATCGGCTGGCGATAAGGGAAACGCTGATCCGCAGCCAGAGAGAGCGGTCAGCCAACAAAACGAGCGATCAAAAAGAGCAAACGCTGA